TTTCTTGCTCTCTGTTGCAGCAAACCAGAAATTAGCAGCCTTCTAAAGCTTCGCACAACATCTCGGGATTAATTGCAAACAGAGGTGAATCGGGGCATCGCAATGGATTTTCGCGTTAGGCTTTCATACATCATTCCACCATTCGGAACAGAGCTGAGGCAGTCCATAGGCTTACATGCTAGTTTATCACTTTCCTAGTTAATTTGTTAATTGATTATGGTTTTGTAATATTTAATTATTCATTCCGGACTGTAATTATTTATTCGGACTGTATATTATTTATTCGGACCCTCCGAGCGAGGGCAATGTTGTAATAAGTGTGCGTGAGTGTGATGTATGTCTTCCAACCCCACGTCTTTCTCCCTTTTATTTACCAGTTTATGATGGTTAAATTAGGGCATGTTTCAATTAGCATACTTATACTTGCATGTTTGCATTATTCATCTGTCTTGCATGCACCGGGCTCGGCGCATCATACTAACTGCATTTGTATTTCAAATTCCAAGTTGAATACTTGTTAGTTGTATCATTTCACATGTCATCCTTAGAATAGTCAGGCCTATCTTAGTTGCATTTTGCATGTGATGCATTAGGCATTTCAGCATAGTTAGGATCATGCATTTGATTTCTAACATAGCTTCTGTTTTGGCACGGAGTACTAGGTAAGCTTTTTATGCTTTAGCATCCTTGTATGTGCGTGAGTGACTGCCATGATAGCATGCTTTACCATGAGGCTAATTGCTTATGTGATATAACTGCCTGAATACCTGTGGGTGAAGGTTAGGTTATTTGAATTAGAACAATTCATCAATTGTGAGTTTTAAGCCCACTAGAGAGTGGCAAATCACCTTGTTTTCTAAGCCCACCTGAGGGTGGCAAATCCACATTTTAACCTACTTGCGAGTATCAAACCGTTTTTAAATAAACAAACATGAAATGTTTCGTTCCAATTCAGGCAATCCAGTCTATACTTGTATGCTGTGCGCATCACATAGTAAATCTAGGCTAATAACCGGAGTAAGAACGCATAATGTTTTCAAACTAGATATCATGGTTAGTAGAGGCCGATCTTTGATCGGGCGAGCGGGGGTGCTCACGAAGTGACCTTCCCCAATCGTACCCAAGTTCCCGAGCCGAGGCAACTTTGGTGATAACGGACACCTGGCCTTAGGCAACGAGTCAGGGTTTCCTAAATTCCCCAAAAATAAAATATTTAGGTGGCGACTCTGTACCTGGTAAAGCAGTCCATGTCTGGCACTTCTTTCAAAAAATCTGTTTTCAAAAACGATTTGCCGGATTTGGACTCTTTGATGATTCATCGGTCTTGCATTGCACTCTGCGAGATTAGATACAGGACCGTGACATTGAGTTCTGAACTGTAGTGAGCCTAAATGAACAAAACGGAGTATTTCCCCCCGGGACGTTCGGGGACGTCTACAGTCCATCCTCTGACCCACACAATAGTTCGGTTGTTCAGTCAAGTACGAAGGTCCGTGCTAGATTTAGGTCAACCCATTTGTTCGGCATAAATTCCCCTCGCATGTTAGATATCCATGCAATTATCTAAGGTAAAAAAAAAAAAGAAAAAAAGTCCAGTTGGGGGTTGACCATTAAAGTTTTAGAGACAAACTTTTAAAACAAATTACTTTTTAAGAACAAAATATTTTAATTGTCAAAAGTATAATTGTTATATTTTTAATGACTAAACTAGACATTTAATGATGAATTACTATTCTTTTGGGGTTAAAATTTGTCTTAAAAAGTAAATTTGTTTTATACCATATTATTTTTTTCTCTAAAAATGTATTTATTAGCGACATTTTTAAATTGTTGCTAAAAACTAATTTTTTGACTTTTTAAGACCACTTTTTAGTGCCAGCCCTCATGACGACAATAATTGGTATTCAAATATTTTTTGTAATAAAATTTTCATTTTTGGGAACAAAAAAAATTAGTACCTAAAACTCTTATATTTATTGATTGCTAGGTTAGGTGCTGAAGTAAATCTTTTCAGGCCACCCTCAATTTTAATCTCAAATCCATTGTGTGTTTTAATATATAAATCCTGAAAAATGACATTGAATTTGCTAGCCTTATCATGAATAATCTTCTGGTTATTAAATTTGCTAGACCATAAAACAAATTTTTGGTCCACATTCAATTTTGCTGACAAATGTGAATGTGTTTGTGAAAGATTCCAAAAAAGCCTTCAAGAGGCTGCTCTTTTTAATTAAGATCTATTGACGTTGATGGAATTTTAAATGGGAAATTTTCTTTTTTTCAACATGCATGCTGGGACTGCGTGGTCCCAAGACTTGTCTTGCCAAGTGAAGCAACAAAAAAATAATAACAAAGATTAAGTTTAAACTTGGTTGGACTTAATAAACAAAATGTATGGAAATTGTTAGCAGGTATAAAGTCAATGAAGTAGGACCTTAGTCCATATTTTTCAATTGTTTGAACGGGAATTCTCAATACTTTATAAAGTTTTTGCCTTATGATGAAACACATATATGTATGTATTAAAAAAAATTATTGGGGTTGTTTGTTAACATTTTCAGTTTTTACACTTACATATGTATGCATAAAAAAAATTATTGGGTCATTTGTTAACGTTTTCAATTACCAATTTTTTGTTTACAAAATACAAGAAACAAGTTTTCATTTATTTTTGCAAAAGTAAAAACAAAAAACTTGTTTTTGTTGTATAAAAAATACTTTGAAAACAAATAAAAATAAAAATAGAGAAACATGTTTAATGAGTTGTCAGAGTTGGTGGCTGATGGTGAGGACTAGATAGATGTGGTGATCAGCGGTGGTGTGTGGCCAGAGGTGGCTGCTAGAGTTAGTGGTCGGATGTTGTTGGACCTCACAAAGATGACTAGCCGGCAATCGAAGAGGTTGGCCAAAATTTGCCGATTGGTGGTGGGTGGTGGCTGGAGATGATGGGTAAGAGGAGAAAGTAACATCGTTTTTGTGTTTAAAAAAGTTTTAAAATTAATTTTGTTTTTTTGAAAATGAAAATAAGATAGCAAATAATTTTTTTTAAAATTTTTAATTTTAAAAATAAAAAACAGAATACTAAAACGTTAACAACCATCCTCAACAACACCCATTTTGAACACCAAGGATCCTCTACAGTGTTTTTTTCCTAAAATTTCCTAAAGTGGTGTATTGTGTGGTTGAAATTTTAATGCTGAATTAATTCATGTTTAGGGGAAATTACTGAAGACCCATCATGTGTTAGAATGATCAAAATAGTCCAATAATCTAATAATTTTGTTAGCACTGATTGGTGTATATCTAACAAGTAAAAAATAAAGGTCATGGGAGTCTATATAGGCCCTGTTTGGTAGAGCTGCGGGAAAGTGCTTATAATTTATACCTAAACAGCTTATAGCTTATAACTATGAACATAAACTGATTTCTGATTTATAAATTATCATCTCCTGCCCCACTCAAACAATAAGCTGATTTCTGACTTTCAAAAAGTTATAAACTATAAGCTATAAGCTAAACCAAACACATCAAAATAGTTTAAATTAAGCTGAAAGCTGAAATAAGTAGCTTTTAAGCTGTGCCAAATAGGCACATACTATTTTGAGTAAATTACAAATACATGAGATTTGTTTAAAATATAAATATATGAGATTTATTTAAAATATAGATTGTTTCCGTAGTTTAGAAAATTACAAAGATCTCATTGTTAGATTTTTTTATTTAACAAAATTAACTAAAAAAATGAAATTTTTAATTGCTCTCATATACAATAATAAATTACATGAGTTAGTAATTAAAATAAATTTCTGATATCATTAAAAACTATCAATTAACTTAATGATTTATTAATAGAAGAAGCCATTTGTTATAAAATTACAAACTTCAAAAGGTGGGATATAATTTCTAAAACTATAGGAAACAATTCATTGTGTTTGGTTTTCTGGATTAAGTTATTTTAAAAATTGACTTTTTTGGTTTTTTGTGTTTTTTTGTTTTTGTGAATATTTTTTAAATTTTAAACATTTTTTTTACTATTTTAGATGCACCTTACTTAGATGTATCTAAAAAGTAAAAAAATTGTGAAAAAATATTTTAAAAAATTAATAAATACATAAAAATACAAGAAATGTACTGAATTTTTGTATTTTTTTTTGTATTTTTGGTATTTAGTGAATTTTTAAAAGATTTTTTTTACAATTTTTTTTATTTTTTAGGTGTATTTATGTTAGGTGTGTCTAAAAAGTAAAAAAATTGCTTAAAATATTAAAAAAATTCAATAAAAACAAAAAAATACGAAATAAGAAAGTAGAATTTTCTGAAAAGTATTTTGAAAAACTGAAAACCAAGCAAGGTAATATTTTAAGCAGAGGCGTGATTGTAAACTCTAATATTTCTCTTGGACACAAATTGTCATAAATTTTTTATTACCATTTTGTTTCACCACTCATGTAAATATTAATTTTTTATTTAAAAATAATCATTAATTTTTTTTTTAAAAAATTAATCATTAAAAAAATCCTGCAATAATATAAAAGAGTGAAAAAAAAAAAATCACTAATATATAACAAATCTTGCTGAATGCATACATGTATTGCATGCGTATACAGATATACAGTTCACATGTATACAAATCTTGCTCAATAATTGTTTATACAATCTTCTAGAGGGAGAGAGAGAGAAAGAGTCTTCCTTTTCATTTGTCAAAGTCTAGGGTTTCAGTTCCAATTTCTTGTATATAAAACAGTTACTCATTTTTTCCAAACCAAACTCCATGGAATTCTCAAGCTAAGATTGATTTTTCTCTTCTCCAAGAATAATCTTTTGTCATGTCATGGGATGTGAGAGAAGAAGAAAAAAGCGAGAAAGAAAGAAAGATAATATATAGGTTATATAGTTCATGAATGATTGAAGAGCTACCCACAAAACCCTCATCCGCAATACTAATCCTCAGTTATAGTGTTAATATATCAAAGATGGTGGGAGGTGGTAGCATCCAATGTTCGAAGATAAGCCCGTCAGACCAGAACAACGATGGGAATAATAGTGATGAGGACAATCCGAAAGATGGAAGAAGCTCGAGCAACAGCACGGTTGAAGAGAACGAGAAGAAGTCATCAGTGCCAGTGAGGCCTTATGTCCGATCCAAGATGCCAAGACTACGGTGGACACCTGATCTCCATCTTCGCTTTGTTCATGCCGTGGAGAGACTTGGTGGACATGATAGTGAGTTCATAAAAACTAGCTAATTAATTAAATTTGTCTAGGCTTAGCTTGTTCAATTTCATCCATGGTTGTCAATAACTGTAACTATACAGTTATATATCGGTTGATATTAGACAATAACAACTAATCCCAATAAGTATATGTATTCTCATCTACTTTGGATCGGTTAATGGGCGTATATGATTCATCTATTGTTTTTAACTTCTTGTGGTGCAGGAGCAACACCAAAATTGGTTCTTCAACTGATGAACATGAAAGGACTTCATATTGGTCAGGTCAAGAGTCATTTACAGGTGATTTGATTAACAAGATCCATGGATTACCTTTTGATTTCTTCATGTGTCTCCTATCATTGTTCAATTCAGTGTATATAACAATTTTTTTTTCTTTCTTTTTACTTTTTATTTTTTATTTATTTTCATAGATGTATAGAAGCAAGAAAAATGATGACCCTGGACAAGGTATGCCACACTCTCTCTCTCTCTCTCTCTCTGGTGATAATTGAAATTTTTGGTTACCTGTCGTAATACACTCTTAACTATTGGATTAAATATTTTTAGATTATTTTACGACTGGATTCTCTCATGAAGCTAAGAACATATTGGGATAGACAAAGTTGGGATCAAAAGATCCTTAACTATATCTAGGATACATGCAGCTCTCCATCCCACACACTAAGTAATTACTAGGCACAGGTTCGGAGGTACCCAAAGGAGGGTCAAGGGTTTCATGAGATCCGAACTCATGACCTACTTTGTAATTAGGCATTTATCACTATTCAATTTGTCACTCGACTAATCCCCCCAAAGGCTAATTTTTCTTTCATTTTCACTATAAAAAAATAGAGTTTTTTTTTTAATTTTTTTATTTATTTTATGTTTGTTGAAATCTGATGCATCCAAGTGCCTGTCCATGAAAGTAATAGCAGATCACAGGAATAGCTTCAACCTGAGTCAACTTCCTATGCTCCAAGGATTTAACAAAAAGCATCACTCTAATTTCAGGTATACTTAATAGTTTCAAAATTTCGATAGTAAAGATATGTGCACAAAGTTCATATACATAAATTACATAAATAATATGTGATCTAAATACGAGTCACATTAATTTTTTTTCTGTGAATGAATTTGGTGTAGCATTGTTGTACAAGTTTTCCAATTTCAGTGAATCTAATGTCACACTACAATTTCTCTTTTCTTCAAGATATGGAGATGCTTCTTGGAGTGGTCATGACAAATGGATACGTCTTATAGGGCTAAGCAGAAACGATAATGGTAGACCGGGATTTTATGGTACATTTGCTGAGAGGATCTTTGGAAATAGCCACAACAGTTTGGTCAATAGCAATCTGCATATGAATATTACATTTCCCTCCTCCAATGAACAATCTATAAGGAGAAACAATGAACTAAAACAAGAATTCCCTCATTTTTTGAACCCAGAAATGAGACTTCAAGAGCAGACATCTGTGAAGAGGAAGGCTTCAGATTGTGACCTCGATTTGAATCTGTCACTCCGGCAAACATTTAGGAACGATGAAAGCCAGAAGGGTATGGAGGATGATGAAGAGGGCAGTAATTTAACCTTGTCTTTGTATTCATCAACATGATCTTCAAAGCTTGAAGGTTGAGAAAAGGTGAGATTAAGGAGGAGAATGAGAGAATGGCAAGTACCCTGGATATGACTATATGAATGAGACAATTCTAAGTGAGATCTTGAGGTACTTGTCTTAGAGAATTCTTTGGTTTAGTAGTTAAAGTAGGCTTTTTAAAGTTCGAGATTGTGGATTTGAACTTGATGGTAGTTATTTTGTGCAAATGATGCCAATGATTAGATTTGTACTTAATTTGCACACCACCAAACAAAAATTGGCATATTTGTAATGAAAATGTCATGGATCATGAAATTATATCCTGCAAAGTGATGTATAGTATAGATTTAAAGTTGATAGAATGTGAGTCATGTTTAAAATGATTGTAACCTTTAGATGTATTTTTTTGGATAATTTTCTAGATAATTTTTCTGAATTTGTAGTATTGTTGTATTTTTAAATGAAAATGGCGGCTTGCCCAAGAATAAAATGTTGTTATTAGGATTATGATTGCAGGACTTTGAGTTACAAAAATAATTTTCTATAAATAATTGTAAGGTTGCGTATGTCTTGTTCTCTTTAAATTCTATTTTAATAAAAATCTTATACACTAAGACAATTATTTTATTTTATTTTATTTTATTTGGGTGATGTTTTTTGTACCACCATTACCAAACCAGGTAACATGCACCACTTATCCTAATTTTGTTGTTGCTTTGATCCTTTTGTTTTTGCAAGAGTTATGATGCTTCGTTAAAATATGTACTTGTATATATGATGTCTCTTATTTCTAGTTTTTCAGTCTTTGGCTGCAGAGATGAGATGATCTATGTGGTGTTCTGAAAGTTGATAAAAAATTAATTTTTTGATTTTTTTATAATTTTTTAATAAAATATTAGTTTTTTTTTATAACTTTTTGAGATTTATTTTTTGTGTAAAAAAATTAAAAAGTTAAGAAGTTATTTTTTGTACTTGTTCCCAAAACACCCATGTATATATATATATATTGTATCATCTAAGCATGTGAGCACTTTTTTAGGCATGTCTAATAATGGTAGGTGCCATTCCTAATTTACAATGACTTTTGCATTGACTTGTGCTTTCCTTTATTGGGTCAATGTTTCAAACCGGCTAGGCACCATCTTGAAGGGGCCTATATGGAGTCTAGATTCTTACCTTCACATTATATAATAGGGAAACGATAATGATACGTTACTCAAATTTTGTGATTTAAAAATGACTCAAATGATCAAAACGACGTCGTTTTGAGTACAGAATAATATAAAAATGGCCAAAACGACGTCGTTTTGGCCATTTAAGCCACTTTTAAACCACAAAATTTGAGCTACGAGACATTTTATGCACCTCTGTCTCTAGATTAAAATTTTAGTTTTTCCTTTCCCATTTGGATAATAGTTTTGTTTGTCTGGCTCTTTGTGTAGTTCTGGTGTAATGTATGGTGTTATTCTTGGTACCAATCTAACTAATTAGATTTAGAAAGTTATGTTACAATGATGTTTATTATTGTCTTTCCTCTGTTGATATAATATCATATGTACTATATATATATTATTTTTATCAATAAATTTTCCTTTTTTTGTTGATAAAAAAAAATTATATATATGTACGGGAAATAAATATTCCGGCGAGCTCGTACTCCTTTCTTCCAAGCTTCCTGTCTGTCTGATCGACCTGCGAACACAACGGCGGTGAGCTATCCGGCGGTGTGTGGTCGAAAAACCCCTCCGACGGTAAAGTTAGCACACACTCAGGGATAGAGAGAGAGGAGAGAGTTGAATGTCTAAGTGTATCTCACTAAATGATCATCTGTCCAACATGAGGGGCGCAGACACGCTTATATACCTTCTGCGCCACAAATCTACTCCCATTAGTCTCTCAACACGGGGTGCTGTTATCCCATCTGTCAGCACAAATCCAGCAATCACCACCAAACCAAACTATCAGGATATCTTGGCGGCGCCCGGCAGATCGGCAGAATCACCTCGGCCTCACACGGCCGTGCTGCGCCGCATGCCCGAATACTCACTAGCCGAGCTCTATACCGACCGAGCTCAGTTGCATTCCGGCAGAGCCGAGCTCGAAATAGGTCACGCGGGTAAAACAAAGGCCTTCCTGCCAAGCTAAAGGCGTGAGCCTTCCTGCCGAGCAACGCAAGTAGCACGGTTCCCACCTGTGCAAACGGTTCCCACCTATGCAAATTCAAATAGCTCGGTCTTGGGCTTTAGCCGAGCAACCCCATCTCCATGCAAGCCCAAAGCTATCCTGGCCCAAACGCGCTTGGCTTTCAACTTGCCCGGCCCTTACCATGGCCCATTTCCAGCTCATAAAATCTCCCTCTCAATTGCCCCTTAATTCCGTCCGCAAAAACGTGATCAGGATTACATGGTCTGACCGAGGTAGACCCTTCCTCGGTCTGTTGTTTGCAAGACATCAACCGCACTAATTCCAGTGCTCGGTTCCTCGATTTTCTCGACCAACGTCTCATCTCGCCTTCCTGTCTATTCAACTCTGGTGCCGCCATTAATTGGGACACGTGTCGCTCATTTGTTGGCCTCGAGCAGCCAACCATTACGTCCCTTCACATTCAAAATTTTTGGCGGTCTCTCACTTCTATTTATACGTCTCTTCCCTTTCACTTTTCGTTCTTACTAACTCTCCTTCATTCTTGTCAATCCAGAGCTCCAATGCCGTCACCAGCTCCCACTCTTGTCCTTCTTCTACGTTCATGCTTGAAGGATCTGCATTCGCCTTTACTGGGAAGCTCTTCGAATCTTTTTGTGGCTGTTTCATTTGATATTTCTTGTTTTAGGGTACTAAAACCATAGATTTTAGGGTATAGCTCCCCAAAACTCTCCCCTGCCCCTTGTTCTCCTTGCTGTTCTTTAGCTTCATTGATGAACACATGAAGATCTTGGGCGGACCGGGCTCCAGGTCTTCTTTTGATCCTAAAAAATGTTAAGACCGAGCAAATTACAAGTTTTCCAAAACCTTAGTAGAAACTGAGGTAGGCAGAGGACTTGGCTGCTCGACCAGGCTGACATCTGGTTCGCTTGAGCGACCGAGCTCCTTGGTTTGCCTTCACGACCGAGGTGGTTTGGCACTCTTCCTATTCGAGCTAAAGTCAAGCTCATTTTGCGCGACCGCGCTTCCACTTACAATTACTCTCATTCTCCTGCAGAGTCCAAGGGGATCACTGACCAATACCGAGGCTCTCAAAGACCGAGCAGCCATCAAACACCAGTCTGTGCTAAACCACCTCAGCCGAGCTAAACCAGCTGGCTACACATGGGGCGCTACCGCTTCCTTGTCGACACTCCGGTTGCCTTGGCCGCATTCCGGGAAGAGTACGGTATCCCGACCGACGTTCATTTAGAGCTCGATGTTGAGGACACAACCCCATGGGGCAGATTAGACCAGTGTCCCTTCACCGTGCTGTCAATTATAGAAGGGGGCCTTCGCTTCCCAGTTAACTCGCTGATCTGCGAATTCTTGCGGCGCACCGGGCTAGCCCCAACCCAGGTCTCAACCAACACTTACAGAATAATCAACGGGATCCACGAACTGAACAACCAGCTAGGAACCAACCTAGGACTAGCCGAGATACTGTGCCAGTATACCCTCGGGCATACAGGCGTTGGCCTTGTCTACTATTTAAAAATCAGACCAGGCAAGGAGAAGATAGTGACCGGCATCCCAGACAAGGACTTGCACGACAATGACTTTTTCTGGGGTCTGGTAACTACGAAACAGCCGACATACCGGGCTGGTTTATCAGCAAGAATTTCGGCGAGACAGGTAAGCCGTGCTAACTGCTCGGTCAATTTATCTTTCTTCACTATTCTGTACTTGACATTTTTTTTTCTTTTCTTTGCAACAATTGAAGCCTTGCAAGCCCACTATCATTATCCCAACGAAGCAGCCATCAGAATCGTGCTCCACTATCGCAACCGGGATTGCCGCGAGCTCTTCGGTTACAAACCGACATATAGATATTCTGCTCCACGCCGGAGTAAAGTCATAGACTTTCTTCACGCTCCATCTCCACCTCCCGATTCCACATTATCGGACGTGCCATTCATCCGGTTGACCGAGGCAGAAGAGATGGCCAAAAGAAGCCGCATCAAGCACCTTATCACTGCCACCTCCACCGAGATACCGAGCATCCTAACCCGCTCTCTTGTTTCCAAGCAATCCAGCGGGACCGTGGTTGCACTGGCGTCTCCCGCCGCCGGGCAAGCCAGCAAAGACAGTCGTCGGGCTGGTAAAAGGCCACGTGTAAACCCTTCCGCCGAGCTAGTTGCGGAGCTCAACACCGAGCAACCCCCCGTGATAACTGACCCAACTCCGCCGTGGAGGCCCTAACTCAAGCACCGGGGTAAAGAGATCCCAGCGACAGCTTCTGTTAAAGGCGACAAGGAGCATCTGCTCACCTTTGACCTCACTAAAGCCTTGCTGCTACTGAGCGACGTGGTCGGCAGCGACCATGTACTGGACACCCGGCTGGTGAAATCCTCGGTCAAGTCTATGACCAGGGTAAGAACTTTGCACATTTTGCCAAAAAAATTTCCAAGTATTTACTCAATTTTCTTTATAATCGAACCTTCTTGTTGCAGGCCATCCAGAAACAACACTTGGTGTTGGAAAGGATCCATCAACTCCGGCAGAAGGCAACCGACTCTGCCAGCCAGGTCGAACACCTTCAAGCCGCACTGGGGCGATCCAAAGCATCACTGCAGATGGCGAATTCTGACAATTCAAAGTTGCTCGGCCAGCTTGGTGTTGCCGAGCAAGAGAGGGATGCGCTCAAGACCGAGCTGGAGACGTTGAAGCAATCAAGAAAGGTGGAGCTGGAGGATGCAAACAATGCCGGCTTCAATGATGCCGAGGAGAACTACACTAAGTAGTTCCATGCCACCCAAGACATCTTCTTCAAGGTGGGCTGGAAGGCTGCTTGTGAATAGCTCGGCCAAGGACCTGATACCGACGTGTTTGCCTCTCCTCCAGCTGCCTTCCTACCGACCTATCTTGTGCGCTATGCAAACGACGTCTTCAGCGCGTTGCATGCCGAGACCGAGGAAGAAGAAGTTGAAGACGCCGAGGAGAATGCGGAGGGTGACAACGGCCCAAATCAGGCCGGCCAGGAAAAGACCGGCACCCAGGAGACCACAACCACGATCGACCTGGAGGTCGCGACCGGGGATGAATTCACAGACCTTTCCCCCTAGCTTAGTTTTCTTTGTCTTTCTTTTTGTTTGAACATGTAACCGGGCTATCTGCCCCTCCTCTTGTAATTATTTTGCACATCAATGAAAAAGTTTAATTTTCATCAAGTGTTTGCACGGTCTTCAAGCTAAATAACTCCAGCCGGACAAAATATTTCGGCAAAACAAACCATCTTGTTTAACTAATTTAACCGGAAAAGACATCTCGGTTTGAATCATAAAGTTGAGTAAATCATCAACTC